ATATTTCTTCTTTTAAAACCATATCTTATTGCCTTTTGAGGTATGCTCTTTTTTTTTGGGTATGTTTGAATATGCACTTTATTTTTTAATTTTTTTATGGAAATGACGATTCTTTATTTGTCATAATGATGGTTTGAATTGTTCTCTAAGTTCACCAAAATATGCCAAAAGCACATTCTCAAAAATAAGTAGGTTTACATTGTTTTTTATTCGTCAGTCCATAAACTTTTGGTATACTATTTTATATCTTACCCTTGATTTTGAGGGCAGTAACTTAGTTAGTTAAGTTAGTAGTATTAGCAGTTTTTACAAGAATATCAGAAGGAGTTCCTTGAAATTTATTTTCATTATCTGACGAAATCATTTTTTTCTTAAATAATTAAATAGTTTTATAACTACAAAAATGGCGATTTTTCTATTTCTGAAAAAATATTTTCTTCGGAAGTTATTCAATCCAGTAACAGCAATACATAATATAAGAAAAAAGAAAAATGATTCAACTCAAATGTGACCAAAACGTAAAATAATCTACGTTGTTTTTCTTTACATATACTTCAATGCTTGTTGTGGTATTAGCCAAAGGAGAAGTTGTTTTCCTGGGGGAAACGGTGGCTCATATTATGACACTGGCTTTACTAATTTAAATATTTAAATTTTGCAAATCTCACTACTTTTTTCTCCAGTTCTTGATAATTTGTATTTACTTGAACTTACCATCTATTTGGCCTCTTTTTATTGATCTTATTTTACAATGCGCCGACATTTTGTAGTATGTTCAAACCACCTTCAGTTTCTGGGGTCTATATTAAGATTTGGGTCGTCGCATACGTAACGCAAATAAATGTAAATTAAATGATGTCCATAAAAGTCGCCCGTGTACAATCATTATCCCGCAAACGACTTATCAACTGTCAGTGTCGCAGAGCTAACAATAATTTGGACAGTCGACATCGAGAGCGAAAAAAGCACATTTTTTTCTCCCATCGTTATCCACAAAGGCGAGTGGAATTCTAAAGGTGATAACGAATGACGACCATATGAAAAATAATAGTGATAACGAGTTCCTGTTGGCTTCACAAACGGAATTTCTAATCGCGAACAAAAAGAGAGCCTGCGAAGAATAAATATACGATGCAATTAGAGTCCTGTACACTTTTGCTGGGAACTGTTGAATTCGTAATGACATTATATTAGGTATGCGAGTTCGAAGATTCTAGAGGTAGAAAGACAGATCGTTTGTCATATTTCCGTATTTAAAATTATTTTTATCTAATTGCTTTAAATAATAAATACTAAATACAGTAATGAAAAAATAATATTGGTCATGAAACCGGACGAGACGCTATGATTGAACTAATCTTGATTTCATTCTATTTTTGAACAGCGGTCGTTCAGATTCTATTTAAATTGAGGGTGGCATTTGGCATTTCCGCGCACTTTTTATTAGACCTGTCAAAATGCTGTGTCCGTTTGTAATGACAGGTTATGATATGGCAACCCTGTGAGTATGTTGTCTTTGACATATATAGTTGTATAGATTACTCAAAGCGGGTTGTTTTGCGAGCGGCCAGATTACCAAGCATTTCTTCATTAATTAGAATATGTTTTTCTAATTTTGACATATAAAGTGATATTTTTTGTAATTGCAAGTGTCAAAATTATCTACTTTACGCAACCAGTTGCATAATGTTGAACATTATGAAACTGGTATGGAAAAATTCATTATGTTACCAGTTGCGAAAAGAAAGAAAAAACAAAAATAAGTACCTATTATTAGAAATGTCAAAACTAATCAATGAAGTAATGAAAAGTACATTAAGAATAGTATATTACATTACGAGTGTGGAAAGTGACATATTTCGCACGAGTGAAAACTATTGTCGCACGAGGCATAAGCCGAGTGTAAAAATCTTTCACATAAGTGGTGTACAATATTTTTCCTACGGCTACAAAATACTTTCATCAAAAAAATGAAAAACCAGGAAATCTGGATTTGGAGGTTCAAACAAGGATGAGGATGGTTCTAGATTTGTTTTTATATGCCTTATTGAATCTTGTAAAAATTAAAAACATTCAAATTCTATTTAAAAACACTTTCATAGGATAATAAAAGGTATAATAATATTAGGTACAAAAAATATTAAAATACAATAATATTTTTCATTAGTTTATTCTTTTAAATACAATACAATTTTTTATTAAATGTATTTAATAAATGTTATAGATTATGAAAGTCTTCTTGTTATTATGAATGTATGATTTTGGTTGTAAATAAAGTGTAGTACATTACTCGAGTTGTAAGAGCAATCACATGCTCGTAGAACTTTTCTACTCGCATGTAATTAGCTTCTTACTACTCTTGTTATGTAATATACCTACTATATCCGTCGACCGATCATTTATGATGTATTTTAACACACTTAAAATCGTTGATTAATGGCCCCTATTAATGAATGATTTTCTATTAATCAACGATTTTATTATATGCAACCCAACGTACATTGCTATTATTATACACTTATATTGACAGTTACCTATGGTGTAGGCAACCAAACATACACATACATTTGAAATCAAAGTGTGTTAATACTATCTGTCATTGTATGCGGTTACCTAATTTCTTAAAAGTAAGATATCTTTATTTTTGAAAAGTACGGTCGACAGAAAAGTTCTGTAACGAACTCGTGAATTAAAATGGCGATTAACAATCTCGAACATTAACGCGCTCGCTCTGCTCGCGCGTTAAATTATCTCGATTGTTAAAAAAAGAGTAGGGGGTGAAAAAATCTGAAAAAATGAATTTGTGCTTCATTATTTTATTCATGCACCTAAACTGCGCACATTAAGACTAAAGTTACCTCTTGTCATTGCATTTAGTAAATTCGAATACCAAAAATAAAAAATTCTGTTTTTAGTGTACAACGTAAAAATTATACAATGAGGACGTTTATGTTGGAATAAATTCGATATTTTTCTGTCTAACAGTATTTTAACAAAATGCTTTTTCACATGTCAATTTTTATTTTTCACTGCGCGTCGTACCCTACAATTGGATGTATTAATGACGTCACCACTTTCGTGTACATGACGTCATCGATTTTTTTTTTTAAATAGAACACCATATTTTTCTATTCACTTTTGAATTCCCCAAAAATAAACCATTACAAAAATGTATGTATTACTTATAGACCAAAGTTATTGGTTTGAGAATTAGAGACAAAAAATATTATATTAAAAATTTTGAAAGGACTGGACTAATACATTTTTAATTTTTTATTAGTTTGAATAATTAATTAACGATATTAATAAAAACCTACCATGTTTATTAGTCCAATTCTTTCTATAAAATTTTAGATTCAAAATTTCTGATATGCCATTTGTCTCTAATTCACAAACTAATGACTTTGGACTATACGTAATACATACATTTTTGTAATTGTCTATTATTAGGGAATTCAAATGTGAAGAGAAAAATGTGTTGTTCTATTAAAAAAAAATCGACGGTGTCATGTACACGAAAGTGGTGACGTCATTACTACATCCAATTGTAACGTAAGACGCGCAGTTGCAAATAAAACTTGACTTGTGAAAGCATTTTGTTAAAATACTGATAGACAAAAAAATATCGAATTTATTCCAACCTACACAAGCCTACTTTGGATGTCGATTATAGAAATTGTTCGAGAAAGTCTTGAACACATGGATTTTAATAATAAATAAATATTGTTAGGGTCATCCTGTATATTTTTAATTATATTTAATAACCGTCATGGTTTTCCTGTAATCCTTCAAATACCCAAATAAACCCCAATCAAGCTTAATAAATTTCTATTATAGATATATTATATAGAAGGGATAATGGTCCGAAATCCCTAAACTCACAGGTAGATAGTAGCAATCAAAAATAAATGGTCAAATCACTCAAAATACGGGTTTTCCCGAGTAATATGGATGGTACTTCTGGAGGTTTAAAAAGGATAAGAAAATGAATAAAGAGGAGTAGTGCTGACAAGACTTCAACGATATTTCATTCTAATTAAAACGTTTTGTAAGCTGATACAAATTACATGGTCCTTCGATTAATACAAGTTTTTAAAAGAAATATTTAGTAGTTTTTATTCTTAGGCAAGTCCAAAACTTCTCTAAAATACCATTAAAATTTCCCCGTATGCTATTTATTTTCCTTCAATAATAAATGTAGATAAAAAAACTAATATTCGTTCACGACATGAATATAATAACAGACCGCGTTTGGGAAAGAGAAAAGGTAAGCAATAAAAGGGCCTTCAATAATTTAGTGCCTCCACATATTAAATCCCTACAGGGTCATTCCCAACCGCTATGTATTGATCTCTTACCCGTTTTTTTTTAGATAAAAGATTCTGATATTTTATTTTTATTTCATCAGGAGATCCTTAAAGAAAATAAGAGGAAAAATTTTTTATTGTTTGCTTTATAATTTTAGAACTTGTTACCTTTATTTATTTTAAACATAAGCACTATTACAATTACAAATAATGACTAATAGTCAGAATTATAATTATTTCGAAACCTTTGTGTTTCTGCGGTCACGGCTTATTAATCTGTTTAAAGGTGTATATAAATATGGCGCGCCAATCCTGCGCTGTGCTTGAGCCAACACGGGTTCAGTTCATGGGATTGGTACGGTGCTGTGGGTCTACCGCGCGATGGAAAGCAAAGGGCCTGCTTCGATTCTATTTGGCGCGGCGCGTGGTAGGCACACAGCACCGTATAAATCCTGTGGGCCCGTTGTTGGGACGACGAAGGCACGACACATATTTATACGCACACTTAAGGACTTGACTAGGTACTTCTTAGGCACTCACACTCTAGTAATTTGTAGACAGTTTATGCCGCGTTGCCGTTTGTAATCCAGTATTGGGCATGTATTCGCGTTACATAATGCTTTTTATGTATTTTTTTGTTTACCAAAAATTTTCCTGTTCACAAACTTTACGAACATTTTTCTTTATTTTCAGATCTCAGCACTACGATAATCTCCAGCAAGCCGATAGTCAAAAGCAACCTCTTAAAGACACCACAAATACACCATCGAAAACAAAAATCGAAGACAACAACAATCAAGAACCGGAATCCACTCAACAGGACAACAACGATCCGACAAACAACAACGTCCAACAGCAGCGACAAGGATCCTTGCAGTGTTTGGAAACGCTTGCACAGAAAGCGGGCATTCACGATATCACTCCTGACGATTGCAAGTATGATGTTGCCAATACTCTGCTGAACTTAGATAGAGGACACGAGTTTATTAAGCAAAACGTGGACAATACTGGTAAGTTTAAAACCAATATAACGCGCATTTAAAATTCATCATCCTGTGGAGATTTTGAAAGTTCTTTTAGTCTCATAGATTTATTATATCTTTCAAAAGGTTTCTGTTTTTGACTTTCTTTCAATCCAATATATTTTTCTTCGCGTTTTCTTTTTGCCAACTGGTATCATTCAAACTATTCTTTCTAAGTGATCAAGCTAGCATTAGGTACTTCTTGTTCATTACCCATTTCTCATGTCTACTAATCACATATCTACTAATCGGTTTAACTTTCGGTATGATTCCTTTATCTTGATCAAATTACCACTTTTTATCGTGTCAATTCCATTCTGAAATCGAAGAACGACTCATCTTAAATATAGTACTCTCAAGATCAAACCTTCGTGCCTGTTTTGCTTGTGTTGAAGTGAATAATAAATGGCAATCGGATGTTTTAGAGCAAGAAACGATATAATTATCAATGTTGCTAGTCACCGACAACATCGATTCTATATCGTTTCTTTTCCTGCATATGCGAACGCTATTTATTATTAACTTCAACACAAGTAAAGCTTGCTCGAAGGTTTAATCTTGCTAGTAGTGCATACTTAAAACATAAGTTGACACAAATTAATCCAAATTCTAAATTAATAATTTTTCTATAAAGGTCATCATCTAACGATAACGATGAGTGATTTAAACAAGCAACAAATGGACGCCAACGCCCAAGCGCAAGCGCAGGCCCAAGCCCAGGCGCAAGCTCAAGCACAAGTTCAAGCGGTACAGCAACAGCAGATGCAACAGGTTGCTCTGCAGCAACAGCAGCAACAACAACAGCAAGAACAACAACAGCAGCAGCAACATCAGCAGCAACAACAAGCTTTGGTTCCAGCACAGAGCCCGCATTTGCAACAAGTTACAGTTAACGCTTCAGGTAAGAATCTATTAGTTAAACTTATTGACTCTGGATTGCAAAACAGGTCATTAAAATTGATGATTCTGATAAACTTTGCCTTTGTATTTAAAAGTATGTGATTTACCTAATGGATCCTAATGCCCATAGTACAAATAAAAATATAACTTGTCCTTCTAGGTGCCCAATGCGCGGTTACCTCAATGGGCCCTCCTCAACATACGGTTTCCATGCATCAGCAAGTCGCTCAGCAAGGTCAAGTTCTTCAGACTCAAAACGCTCAAGTTTTAGCTGCTCAACAATCAGGAAGCACTACAATAACCACCATGTCACCGCTTCAGCAAAGCCAAGCTGCGCATCAGCAGCCAATCAGCGCCGATTGGAGCCATGGTAGGGCCGTGCAAGTTATCCAGCAACCATTACAGAATCCTACGTATCTTCAGCAATTATACAATGGTCAAGGTCAATTATTAATGCCTGGCAATATCAGTAATATCGCATTACATCCTAGTATTAATCCACAAATCCAAGTTATCGCCAAGCCTTTTCAAGGCAACCAGCTCGCTCCGCATATGATAACGACCGCTCAAGGAAAGCAAGTGATTCAAGGTAGCCAACCAACTACTTTCCCGGGCTACACGACTTTACCAACCATTCCTACCACACAAAATCAGCAAACTTTGGTCTTCAGCCAGTTGGGCGTCATCAGTTCCCAGCCTAATATTTTACCTAATCACTCCCAGGGCAATGGACAGGTGGCCCAGCAGAAACCACAAGAAATGCATAAGGTGAGTCCAATTATTTGATGAGGGTACGTGCTTGCTTTGTTGGATGACTGTATGTCATGTTTGTGACTAATAATATTAACACATTGGATAGCTGCACTGTTTTAATAAGAAATATTATATAACCAGATTATACAGGGTGAGTCGTAACTATTGGGACATAGAGTAAGCACAGGTTATTTGGACCAAAATATGAGCATTGGACCAAAGACTAAAAACCAAAAATACAGGGTGTTAAAGTTGAAATATTTTTTTGTTAATCACATATTCATAAATCATCAGAATTGGCACAGAGGCATATATTTAAGCAAGGAATAATATTTTATGTATTATTTTATATTTTATTACAGTGAGCGATTCGTGATGGTGAAATTGGGTCATATCTTTTTTTGACGAAACTTTTTAGTAATTTTGATTAGAGAACATGATATAAACAGTTTTTATGTTAAATTGTTATTTTTGTTTAAACTTTTAAACAAAGCAACTAAATATAAAAAATCTATATTTTGTTCCCTCAGTGCTTTCGGGGAATAAGGGGCTAAGTAATTTTTGGGTCAAAACGAGTTAAATACATTTCCTTATGCCACTTTTCGAATAAAAAATTGGTAAAGCCTATTGAACTGTACATCAAAAATTCAATCTAGCACAATAATTTAAAAAATATATGTATTCAAGCCTATTTAAAATCGGCACTTCAACTTCAATCAATTCTCCTGAAAAATAACAAATCTGGACTTATCCTCTTATTTCTCGAAACCATCGACTGCCCCTTAGTAAAATTATCCGCATCGTGAGTTTTATTCCCCAAAATTCATTTCGTGAACGAATTTAATTGGCATAAACTAAGGACTTTATATGTCGACAAAAATTGTTATCAGAACTTCTTGGTGGCCATTCAAAATCACTTTTTCTGCCACTCAATCGTTGATTTCTAACCCCAACTGGGTAATGAGGTGGATCTTCGTTCTACATAAACCACATTGTTCTTAGATCTAGTGAGAGATGATCCAAAATTTCAGAAAGTCTGTTTCGGGTCGACCTCCCTGATTTTCATTGTGGAATGTCCAAACAATGATATATTATTTGAAACCCATTTTGCTGAGGCTGAATCGTCCAATTGCGTTGTTTTTAATCAAAATTTCTAAAAAGTTTCGTCCAAAAACGATAACATCCTATTTCATCATCAGGAATCGTAAAAATGTTGAATACTAAATAAAATAATTTTCCTTGTCTATGGTTATGCTTCTGTGTCGATTTTGATAACGATTTATATAGTTTTGATTCACCCTGTATTATCAAAACATTCAATTTAGGCGTTTAATTGTACATAGTATAATTAATGTTTATTATTATTAGATCGGAAAATAAAAATACTAATAAACTACGTTGCTGTACATGCTTGTGTTCGTGTCAGATTACTTATACCAAAGAATATCTACCCAAGAAGCGAAACTGAATAAGTTTTCTTATGTACCAATACACTGGGAAACGTATGAAAATTACTCAATTTTTGTCGTTTAGTTCATAAGACATACTAAAGTCATAATGACAGAAAATTCTTACTATGGTCATTGTATAAAATAGATTATTTTAATAACGAAATAAGTACTGTAGGTACAATAATTACAGTCACTACACAAAAGCGTAAACAGATGACCTGGTCATTCTGCAAATAGTAAATTTTGAGAACAATTATGGAACAGTGGTGCAAGGACAATTCACTGTCTATCAATCCCAAGAAGACAGAAATTGCCTTTTTTACAAGGGAAATTATGAAAATGGAATTAAAACCTCCAGAGCTGCTAAATACAACAAAACTTTGCAAGAGAATGAACTACCTTGGTAGCACCTTTGACAACAAGTTAACATGGAACTCATACTTTTGGCAAAAGACGCTCGATACGCTTCCACTGCTTCAAGCGAACATGAATTTCAGCGCACTGAGATAGATCTTCCATAAGCCATATGAAGTTATAACAGAACAAAGAGAAGAGCCGGAAGTGGTAGGTACGATACATATCTACATCGACGGCTCTAAAACAAAACAAGGCTCAGGATGTGGAATATACTTTAGATGCTTAAACCTAAACATAAAATGGGCTGTGAGCAATAGTGCCAGAGTAGTTCAAACAGAGCTAATGGGGATTCTCATAGCAGCAAAAGAAATTACCAGAAACAATATCACTGGAAGGAACATGCTCATCTATATAGATAGCAGACAAGCACTACTCACCCTGAACAGACCACGAATTTACTCAAGGTTAGTACTAGATCACGAAACTTTGGCCGAAGTATCCATCAACAATGTGGTCACCTTAAGATAGATCAAAGGTCACGCCACATCGATTCACTAGCAAAGAAAGCAGCTAACTAAATACTTTTTGGACCTGGCCCTTCTATTCGCCTGACAAAATCGTTAGTGACAGATCTAATTAAAGAACATTCCTTTGTAAAATTCAAGGAAAGATGGTATGGAACAAGAAACTGCAGAGTCACCAGGGAGCTCTTAAGTTATCCTGACAACACTGCAGCAAATAAATACTTGACTATGATTAGACAGAATCTGCGCCTAGTCACAGGCATTCTGACTTGCCAAATACGGAAACATCTCCATATCATGGGGCTGTCAGAATCTGCACTCTGCAGAGATTGCGAATAAGGGATCATCGAGCATATCCTTTACGATTGTTCGACGCTCTCATTTATTAGATGATTTGTGTTCGGCGAGTATCGGCTAACACCGGCCGATATAAGAAAAGCATCCCTTGGCGACGTTGTCAACATTAAATCTGTAGGCAGGCTCACGAGCTAGGAGGTGCTTATCATCTTAGGAGGATACACAATGGGACTAGTGAGGCCTAAGTACCGTGAGGTAACACACCCTTCACATGTTATATATCCAGAAGTAGCTGTAAATGCATTTCGATTGCATCCTTATAGCAGCGACTTTAGTTCCTCGGAGTGAGTTTGTCATATATTTTAAATATTGTTTCTTTACTGTTTTAACTCGAATGGTTTGAAAACCAAAAATTAACATATTTAAAAAAAAAATAAGAAATTAAACGATCATTTAGAAATTTTAAAAATAAAACATTTACTGCTGGATGCAGAAACGTTCATTAAAATTTACAAACAACGCAATGTAATTTTTGCATGTAATAAAAATCTTGAAACTATCTAATTTCTTATTACTACCTAGTTAAATACAATTACTTTACTATACTGTAATTTTCACAAAACGCTAATAATTAGGCATTCCAACGACCTGTCCAAATGGCTACCAGTGGGTACTGACAGTTTAGATATGGCAACCCTGTTGTCATGTTGTCATTAACAGGGTCAATGATACATATATGTTATATACATTGCTCAAAGCTGGTCGTTTGCGAGCAGCCATATTGCCTGGCAAATATTTATTAATTTGAATCAGTTTAGCAAAAATGTGTTTTAAAACCAATTTTCAGACTTTAGATATTTAAAAAATAATAATTGCTTATATTTTTACTTCAAGGCATAAGCTTATGTTTATTTTAAAAAATAGGGATGATCAATCTATGTAACTATCTATTTCACTCACCTTGTCAAATCACCAGGCCTACAGAGTTGCTATAACTTTGCCACATCATAACCTGTCAAAACCCACTGGTAGTCATTCAGTTTGGAATGCCTAATAATATACTAAACGTTGCTCTAAATAAATTGATGATATTTGACGTTAAACCACCTCTAAAACACTGAGAAAACTTGGCTGTTTTTTGTCCACGAATCGCCCATTTAATTTCGCTTCTTGGGTAGGTATTTTTTGCTTATACTTTTTTACGCACAAATATCTGGTCTAGTTGGCTCTGAACCCTGCCTGTTGTTTGGTCATAAATTTCTTACAATAATTTTTGTTTAAAAAATCATCAGTTGCGTCATCCGTCATCAACCGATAACGTAAAACTTTTTCACAAATATGTCAACGAATGGGTATTTGAATATAAAAATCAACCTGTTTCAGGATTTTACTCAAAATTCAAATATTTTAAAAATAACGAATTCGTTAACATTTGCCTCATATTGTACTCTATCAATAACATACTTTTTTACTAAATAAGACTCTGCATTGTTCTTTCTTTTGTGACAACATGAGCAAAGAAAATGAGGTAATAGACCTATGAAATGTTATTATAATTTTTTTTATCAAAATCGTTCCTGCTGCAGCAAATTGGCAAATAAGAGTCGCTTGACATATGTGTGGTATGAAGGAGCGATAGGTTTTTAAAATTAGTACATAATTTTTGACGTATAAATGTAAGGTTATGATTTATGTTCCACACACTATCCCAACAAAGCAAATGCGCTTGGTACTATTCGTCCCAAAATGTACATTGTTTATTATTTCTAGAATTTCTTATCGTTTTTGATAATTATGATTTTGAACAACCTTTAAGTAGTAATATGATGAAAAAAAATTCGACAGGAAAGTTATTTTTCGATTTCTATAGGTGATGGGAACTCAAAAAGTACAAATGCAAAAAGTGGCTAGTAGTACAGGCGCAGTTGCTCATACACAACAGCAAGGACAATGCGTACAGGTTACACAGGCAATGCTCGGCTCACAGCCGACAGCTCAAATTATCAATCCTATCCAAGTAAGATTTTTCTGTTAAAACAAAAACAAAACGAAAAATTTAAGTAGAAGTTGATTGTAGTTAGAGCATAATTTTGTACAGAACTACCAGTGTTTCGTAGATTGGTAGACTTTTATTTTGAGAAGATCTGTCTATTTTTTGTCTCAATAAAAACAATATCGACACACGCAAATACCTCCAAATGGATAAAAAATAGAAATTTATAACTATTCGGCTTAAATTTGATTGGGTATAGGGAAAAACTATAAAGAGCAACAGAAAGAAGACTATTCATATGAAGCGAGAATAAGAGAAAGAGAGAAAGAAGAAGTAGGGCTATTCTTCGCGGCGCGGCACCATATTCAGTCTAGACTAGATTGAGTCCGTAGCGCGTGAAGGTAAAACAATAGATTTTGGTTTTAGTTTTAAAATAACAAAGTATTAATATGCCGAACTTTATTTATACCACACGTGAAAAAATACAAATAGAAATGAGGTAATATGGGAGTCATTCCGTTTAAAATATTTTCAGTTGTATTTGAAAATAGGTTAATTCCTACGGATAATTAGTGGTCAGATACTATCGATAGTTTCCGATAGTTTCAAGAGTTACTATCGAAATTATAGCTACGCTGATACAATGGTTAATACGTAGTAATAGTAACACATTTTACTTATATTTGAAATATTAAATAGCCACTTTTAAAAAACTTACTTTTTATTAAAAAAAAAAAACAAACAGTAAGCAGAGACAAAAGAAAACAGGAGAAGTGCTGAATTACTGAGTGCATTCTTATAAATGTAGTTTATTTTTAATTTCAATTTTTTTGATTGAATTCAGTAAAATGAACTTGAAATATAGTACAAACATGAGTTTAAACTATCGATGATTATTTAAAACAATCGATAGTTTTCGATAGTAACCACTATTGATAATATCGATAGTATCCGACCCACATACTTTGATTACTATACGGTGCAAGAGAGAGGTCCGACACGCCCAACATAGGGCGCGGCCATTTTGATTCCTATGCCACAGTTTATAGCTAAAGAATCAGATCGCTCACTCTGCGTCGGCACTTTTGATCTCAATGTTCCAGTGCGCAACTCGGATAATACAATATATGACAACCGCCTAGAATAAAACAGCAGTCTTCTGCGTATCCTGAATTTGTATCCCTGGAGTGGATGTTATTTTGGAACTTTCAACTGGTCCGAGTGAGCTAACTGATTCTTTAGCAATAAACTGAGACTCCAAAAATAATATTCATTGACACTGACAGCAGCAAGCAAAATATCAGGTGCGTTTTAATCATCCACTTCTGCTTCCGGAATTGTCGGTTTAATCTTTTTAACCTGTCAGATTAAAACAAGAAAACCGACAATTCCGAAGCAGAAGCGGATGATTAAAACGCACCTATTAAAAATATTGCGCCAAGATGTAGGCAACACGTAATAAGGGATCAAAATGGCGGAATGTTCTATCTCCTTTTAAAAGGCACTCAGAAAGCTGCGCAGTGCGACCATTCTCCGTATAGTAAAAGAAAAAAATCAAAGTATATGATCCGACCATTACGGATAATGCAGTTCGTGCAATTATAGCAAAGATTGATAATAATTTTGGATGCATTAATAATTGCAAAGTGTTGTCCATCTAGGCAACAACGTCGAAATCAATTGACGGAAGAACAGGAAATCAGGGAAAGGCAAGTCTCTGTCTTCTAGTAAACAAATTGCCGCTAAAGTTGACTTGAAAGAGAGAAGAATACGAAATATTTTAAAAAGAAACGTGTATTCTTGTTTTAAGGTACAGACCAGTCAAGAAATTGTCCTTGACGACCATTTTAAGCGGATGAAGTTTTGCCAGATAATGATGGAAACAATAAATCAAATTATTAATTTTTTGAAAAGTATTTTATTTACAGATGAGTTTTTTTTTCACTCTTTACAGAGAACATAATCCATCTGTTTTGCGATATTGGTCGCAGGAGAATAAACACTTAGCTGTATGCACACAATATACGCAAAAACTAAATGTCTGGGCGGGAATCCTGGGGGATGTCATCGGTTCTTATTTCATGCAGGATAACATGAATGCCCAAAAGTATTTAGAACTACTTGAAAATTGCATTATTCCTGCCGTTAGAACCTTTCAGGTCAACTTCATTGACATTTGGTTCTAATGAGACGGATGTACATCACATAATGAACAATTTTCCAATCGAGTTATTTGTACTGGAGACACTAAAAATGGCCACCACGGTTGCCAGACTTAACCTCGCTTGCTTTTTATTTTTTGGGAATGCTTAATTAAAAGCAATTATACATGTTTGAGTTCGAACGCGCTATCAATTATGTCAAAAAAATTATACAGTTCAGTGCTCAAATCACTCTTGAGCAACTTAATACTATGAGAATAGAATTGTTATAATAAGTTTGGTTTTTGTTTAGCTCAAGCTGGTGGTTTGTTCGAACCACTCTTGCGTTAATTGTTCGAACCACTCTTGCGTTAATTGTTTTTTATTTGATAAGAATGTTTAATTTTGAGTTATTTTCTTAAATTTTAGTAGAATTATTTTTTTGTTTATTTTTTACTAGAATTTTTGTATTATTTTTCAATTCTGCTATGGCAGAAAAAGAATCAAAGAAATAAGTTGGGAGATAACATATTTTAAAAGATAAAATAATATCTTTCATTTCAAATAAATTATCGTAAAATCTCCTGCAACTGTTACACCCCAACGCTTGTTGTACATTACTGAACTAAATAAAATCAAATTTACACCTTGGGTGTGCTGTGAGGAACGATTCCCCACTAATCAGTTCTTCAGAAAGTGATATACACCACGTGCTCGCTTTTTATGCAGGTGTCACTGTTCCTCTTGTTAATTCGCAATCCCCAATAAAAATTTAAGCCGAATCTGTATTATTATCTATATTAATAGAGGCAAATTTTGGTGGATCAAAAACATATATACAGGACTGAAGGAGTTATAACTTTGAAGATAAACTTATGGCCATTTACAAGTTTTTATTGCAACTCTGTGGATACCTGAACCCAATGGTCACCATTCAATCCACCAGGAACAAACTTTATTGTAAATTCGTCTTGAAGAATGTAATTTTCTAAGTCATGTGTTTGATAGCAGATTCTTGTCGATTTCAAAAATATATGGCTCAAAGATTGCTCATAAAAAGTCTCATTTAGTAAACAAATATTAATATTGATTTACACCAATTACAATTGGCTTTTGGATGGGAATAATATACCGGCTTAAATATATTTTGATGATTATTTAAAACGACAAATTTTATTAAAAAAAAAGTAGGTGGAATTAGAGATATGCAATAAGAAAAAAATTGGAATTCTGAAACTCTCTGTATCTGCAAAACTAGTTATATGATTAGATTAGGCCATAGCTACCAAAGTTTTAAATACTTTGAGGAAGCATAAGAAAATTGCCTGATACAATTGAACGTTTCCAAGAAAAAGCAATGCATACTCTATGCATTACTATCCCTGTCTGTGGCTATGACGGAATTTAGGCCGTAACATATAAAAATTAAAATGGAGTTATATAATTTTCTCTCCCTGTCTTCTCAGAGTAAATGATCTAGAATAATATTCGATACACCACGAATTTATAGCATGCAATAACATTTTAGCAGTAGTTTTTGCTATTTATTAACATTTTCTCTTTTTTATATCCCAATTTTTATTAAAAAAAAATATTCACAATCATTCAAATCTAATTCGTTACAATATATCGAATATTAAGTAACTCCTTTCATAACTTTATCATTAAATTAGTGGGTAATAAATATCCTTTCTTCAATACTTGCAATTTAAAATTTCCAAGAGTACACTAAGCGATTAAATCATAATCAACACTATTTCGCTTTTGAATCATATTTACTGGAATATCAGGTAAGTCTTTGTTGACAACTTTATATATTTTTTATCATAAAAAAAACAAGTTTTCAAAACCTATTTTACCATTTCAGCCAGGAGGTCAACAAATGCAATTCGCACCTTGGCAATTCGCCGCCAATGGCCTACAACAAGTCTGGACTACCACCAACGGTCTTCAATCGCAGGCATTGCAACTTGCTCCCAACCAGATATTTATCAGAGGTACCCAAGCTGACGGCTCTCCTGGTCCTGGAATGTTTATTCAACAGAATCCCCAAGCTACTACCATACAAACGCAGCAGAATCGTAAGTAATTTGTAAATATATCAGGCATAAATCAGGGAAGCGCAGCAGCCATAATAACTGAAATTTTATTCGATATAAATATTTTTTATATATTTAAAAAAGTTTTAAAATTGAGAAATCCTCGTTTATTTAGGAATAATTTTTTACTGTTGTAATTACAGAAACAATTTCAACTCCTGGAACTGTCCAACAAATAGCGAAGCCCAGACCTGCCAATGAAAATATTCAACCCAAACAGCAGCAGAATAGGCCCTTAAATATACTACCATCCAATCCTGCCAATATAAGACCCGCCAGTTCTGCTGTGTCGACGCAAACCATTGGTGCTCAAACTCCTGTAAGTAAACATAACAAAAAACATATTAAATAAACGTTTAAAGAGGAATGTTTAGCACTTTTCTTTGTTTTCAATGCTAAGTTAAAGTTAAAAATTCCAAAATAAAACTGGAGATCTCTGTGAGGTATTGAGAAGTCTTAAATATCTCTTCGTTCCCCTCCTAACATTCAAATCAATCAAATAATTTAACTATTTAAAAGTTAGTTTTCGTTATTTTATACTTTCCATTATTTTTCTTCAGGCTTCAATGGGTGGTAAACCCGTAGCCAAAATTCGCACCAAAGCCCCCCAAATAAGAACCTCGCCTGCGCCAAAGGCTGATGCTGCCAATCAAACCCAGATCAAGCCTTATTCAAACATGCCTCAACAGCAACAACAGCAGCAGCAACAACAGCAGCAGCAACAACAGCAGCAACAACAACAACAGCAGCAACAACAACAACAGCAGCAGCAGCAACAACAGCAACATATGAATAAGTAAGTAGAGTTTAACTATAGAAAAATATAAATACGAGGGCCACTCTGTATATTTTGAGATACCACGAAACTAGAGGCGTTAGAGCTGGCAACACTGCATTTTTAAATACCGACATCCTTAATTAGTAAGCTCTGATAATCAGTTTGAATTGCTGCTGTCCACATACTTTGCTTTTCTTTTACTATACGGAGAATGGTCGCACTGCGCAGCTTTCTGAGTGCCTTTTAAAAGGAGATACAAAACTCCGCCATTTTGATCCCTTATTACTTGTTGCCTACATCTTGGCGCAATATTTTTAATAGGTGCGTTTTAATCATCCGATTCTGCTTCGGAATTGTCGATTTTCTTGTTTTAATCTGACAGGTTAAAACGACTAAACCGACAATTCCGGAAGCAGAAGCGGATGATTAAAACGCACCTGATATTTTGCTTGCTGCTGTCAGTGTCAGTGAATATTATTTTTGGAGTCACAGTTTATAGCTAAAGAATCAGTTAGCTCACTCGGACTAGTTGAAAGTTCCAAAATAACATCCACTCCAGGGATACAAATTCAGGATACGCAGAATACTGCTGTTTTATTATAGGCGGTTGTCATATATTGTATTATCCGAGTTGCGCAGTGTATAAACTGGAACATTGAGATCAAAAGTGCCGACGCAGAGTGAGGGATCTGATTCTTTAGCTATAAACTGTGGCATAGGAATCAAAATGGCCGCGCCCTATATTGGACGTGTCGGACCTCTCTCTTGCACTGTATAGTAATCAAAGTATGTGCTGCTGTCACATAGTAAACGTGGTATCGAAGTATGTGAAACGTGGTACATACGAATTTCATCTAAACATGGATTTATCAAGAGAACATGCGCTATGATCTACGATTTCAAGGTTGTTTTAAGTGAACAACAAAGTCTTGAACGGTTACAACGCGCATTTGGTGTTAAAAGTCCTTCACGAGCAACTGTGTTTCGCTAGTATAGCGAATTTAAAAGAGGACGGATATCGCTTGGTGATGAGGCACGTACTGGTAGGCCCTGTTCTTCAGTTACTGTGGAAAACATTGAGAGACAGACGTATGATTGAAGAAGATTCAAGATGCACCTATCAAGCTATTGAGGAAACTCTTGGTATTGGATCCGCAACAGTAAATTCAATTTTACATGATCATCTTTATATGAAAAAAATTGTTACTCTTTGGGTGCCAAATACGCTTAGTGATTTTAAGATGACAAAGTGAGTAAGAATAGGGGAAACGTTAGAACTGTTAAATAATGGTAGACGTCGTATTCTTTCTAAAATAGTAACAGGTGATGAAACTTACATACCATTTTATGATATTCCTACTCGCCAGAAGAGCCGTGTATGGATTTATGAAGATGCACCAAAACCAACAATGGCGAAAAAGTAAAGGGCTGCCAAGAAAGTTATGTATGCAGTTTTATTTCGTAGTACAGGATTAGTAAAAGCAATTAAGCTTGAAGATTAACGTACAGTTACAGCAAACTGGTATACCACAAAATGTTTATCTGTAGTTCTTGAGTCAGTCAATATTCGCGGGTTAATGTTGCATCACGACAATGCATCTTCACACACTGCACAGAAGACAGTTGAAGTTTTACATGAAAACAATGTAACAGTCATTGGACATCCACCCTATTCGCCTGATTTGGCCATGTGTGACTTCTGGTTATTCTTTAACCTAAAGAAACATTTACGTGAACGACGTTTTACAACGATGGGTGAGATAAATGAAGCAATTCATCAATTTTTTGAGAGTATTTCAAAAGATGACTGGCTCCAACCTTTTAAGTTGTGGAAGCTTCGGTTACAAAAGTGCATTGATATGGGTGGTGATTATTTTGAACATAAATAAAATCATTTTCCTAAAAACATTTGTAGTTTTCTTGGATCTCAAAATATATAACGTGACCCTCATATAACTCTTTTTTATTGTTAATGCTGTCACATCAATAATGCTTTTTAAAAAGAGTTTTCATATTTAAAGATTTGCTTTTGACTTTTTTCAATTTGGCAGTAGCGTCATTTTGAATTTTAAATTCGAGGGACGCTAAATTGGTAGTACTCACCTTATCTGGGCTGAGGTTCCAAGGACGAACTCGTTGCATAAACGAAACGATTTGATTTTGAATGGAAGATCAAAAGACTTTAGTACTTGATACATTGAATTTTAAAGTGTGAAGCATTGGCATTGCTTAAGGTTTAGCACATAAGAAGTTATTCATACTGCTAGCCCATTCCATTTTGATTAGGATTTCGAAATTGTTTGAACTTCAAAAATGTAAAAATATTTCGAGCCTATGTAAAAATATGTGGGCCCTTTACCACTTAAGTTTGTTAATGTAAAAATATTTTGCCCTTTTACCTTCTAAGAATGCACATATAGAAATATGTGGGTCCTCTATCCCTTAAGCTTACAAATGTAAAAATATTTGGAGCCTTTATCTCTTAAGTCTGCCCATGATAAATATTTGGTCCTTTTATCTCTGACTCCTTCCCATGTAATATTATTTGACCAGTCTATACCTTAAGCCTGTCCATGTAGAAATATTTGGTCCATTTATCCCGTAAGTCTGCTCATGTAATACTAAGATTTTGGTCCCTTACTTTTTTGACCCTAATGTAAAATTCAAATTAGCGTTTCATTCTGAAGTTCGTTAAAACTCGTGCCCATAATCATCGTTGCTTCACCATCTGGTATGTTATTCACGTAAGATCGACAATTATTTTCACTTATCACTTTCAAATAACCACTCAAATAAAATCGTTCAAAAGACTTTAAATAATTTATTTGACGTTTAAGAATGACAGCAAGTTAAGAAAATTCTAAAAATCAATAAGGTCCTCAGCTAGAAGAAATTATCAATTAAAATCAAAACCGCAAGTCGATCGGCGCTTGTGTTATCGTTTAGGAGCACGTACAAACACACATCTAGGTTTTTAGATATTGGCTGTATTCTTGTACATTGTACACTTAGACACTCGGTATATAGTCGTAGACAATCTGTGGCTAATGAACATCGTCTGAAGCCAGATCAAACATATACACATATGTTATAGTCGTAAATAAAATATTATAGGATACTCGTTTTGGCTGTTATCCTTATTACAATAATGGTACTCACTAACATTTGTTTTATAAATTGCACAACTCGTACGTAGTTTCATAAATAACTTTATTAAATTTTAAATTTACAATATAACAATTTCAGAAACTTAAACGTCTTATAAAAACTATATTGCACCTAAGTGATTTAACGCTTGTATGTGCAATGAACAATATCATAAATAAAAATCTAAAAGAAATTGCTATGTAACATTAATATATGCTAGAACAATATATCCAGCTACACATTTTACATTTTATAATAATCCGTCTAAGTACTCTCTATTATCATATATGTATTTTTTACATTGAAAAACATTTTTTTTATAATTTGTTGTCGTTTTGACTTATGAGGCAAAGTATTAAATATTTTTGGAGCTACAGTGGAATCAAATCTTTGGTTGGCATCATCTTTTTTAAAAGGTACTATTAACTATTAACATATCATTAGTTTTATTTCTTATCTGATAGTAATGATTTATATAATTTTTGGTTTTAGATTTATAGTAAAAAAATACAATTACTAAGGTAATATAGGCATCGAACATTCAAAATATATAACAGAGAGGTTGAGTAAAGTCTATATTTAAAAAAGATCATGCGTAGTATATAATTTTGAATGGACATTCAGCTTCAATACATTATTATAAAGCCCTCCCCCCACACACAATATTACCATACCTCAGGAGTGATTTTACCAATGACTTGTAAATTTGAATTAAAAGTTTTTATGGTAAACTCCTGCGTATTATATAAAATGTATGTATTAAACGGCTAATTTTGATAGTTCGATCTTGAATATGATTAGTCCATTTCAGATTTTTGTCTACTGTAATGCCTAAATATTTAATAGCGTTTATTTCTTTAATAATAGTATTAACTATTAACTTTGTTTTATTTCAAATTCTTAACTATTTATTTTTTAAGAGTGATCCACAAAAAATGTTTTGTTGTTCATTCCATACTAAAATAACCACAAGTTTATTTAAATTGCTTAAACCTAAGTTATTAGTTTCTCTTACAGAATGCTGGTGATGAACCCCAACGGTATGGCAACTGCTGTCACTCCCGGTTCTCCAATGACGGCCGAGAAAGCACAGCAAATTGCCAACCAGAACAAAAACCAACAACAACAAAATGCCCAACAACAACAACAACAGCAGCAGCAGCAACAACAACAATCCCAACAAACGCAGCAAGCCGCCGTCATGCAGCAACAGATACAACAGCAACAACAAGCTGCGTTGCAACAATATCAGTTGCAGCAACAGGGTCAGGCCCAAGCCCAGCAGGGACAACAGGCACCACAACACATACAGCCCAAACCTATGATGAGTAAGCATTTTTTTGTTATATCTATTTTTCATGATTTTAATTTATAAACAGATAGAATAAATATTTTCTCTGAATTGGAGAAACTATTTTTTCATGAAATAAATAATATGTAAATGTAAACCAGTAAAAATGCATTAATTAATTAAAAACAAGCAGCACAGTTGAAATTTTCACTTTCCTATCTGTATACAGATATCTGTCTGTCTGTCTGTCTGTCTGCGCGCGCGTGGGAGCGTGCGTGGGTGCGGGCGCACGTGGGTGCGTACGTCGATGCGTGCGTGTGTGTGTGTGTGCGCGCGCGTGTGTGTGTGTGTGCGCGCGCGTGTGTGTGTGTGTGTGTGTGTGTGTGTGTGTGTGTGTGTGCGTGTGTGTCTGTATCCACCGTAACTCATGAACCGATACAAAGAAAAACACCAAATTTTAAACTTAAGCTTTATTCCGGCGTCCAATAAACTGATTAGATTTTGGACAGAGTCGGAACATCTGGTGGGGTACTTTATGGGTGGTCATTTTTATATTTTATGGAATATATCTGTTATTTACGTTTGGAGAAGAACATTTTTCAAATAAAAATTACTTACAATATTATTTTTTATATTTTTTGTCCCATACAAAATTTTCCTAAAATGGTCCGTTTTCGAGAAATTTGACAAAATGAAAAAAAATATTTTTTATAAAAATTGTTGAAATAAAAGTTGTTTGTAATTTAATAATTTTTATCCTATACATAATTTCTTTAAAATGAAAACCGTATTCGAGATATTTGAGAACATGTGTAATTCGATTATTGAAGAAAACTCAAAAACGGATAGAGGAAAAAATATTAAATTTTAAACTTAAGTTTTATTTCGGCCTGGCGTGAAATTATTAGATTGAACATCTAGGGGGTACTTTATGGGAGGCCGTTTTTATATTTTATGGAATATATCTGTTATTTATGTTTGAAGAAGAAAATTGTTCAAATAAAAGTTACTTCTAATATTATTATCTATAATTTTTGTTTTATGTCAAATTTTCCTGAAATGGTCCGTATTACAGAAATTTGACAAAATGTGCAAAATTCTGATTTTTAAGAAAATTGTTAAACTAAAAGTTGTTTGCTTTATCGATCTCTATAATTTTTGTTTTTACATGATTTTTCTAAAATGGACCGTAATGAAAAAATTGGAGGAAAAGTGCTAAATTTCTGTATTTTCGTTTTCAATGAATATATCTATAGAAAAATGTTTCGAGTTAGATGTATGTGGAACATGTATATATTTAGTTTATCCTCTAAACATTTATAGAGGTTCTACAATAGGTTGTATAAAATAACCGGAAAAAGCCTATAATAACTGGATAGGAAAATCATGTGTTGGACACATCAGATTTTTTATTAATATTAAATAAAATGTAAGATATCACCAACAGTGATTTATTTTACTGAATTCAACATCTAAAACAAAAAAATAGATCATACCTTCCACCATTCATATATCTTAAACACTATAGAGTTATAATTTTTGTTCTAGTTCAAACTATCCCCTCACTTCCTGGTCAGCAACTCTCTATGTCTGGAGACAGGCCAATCATGCCGGTGGTGTCCATGTCTGCACAGAGTAATCAACAGCAAGTTCAACAAATGCAGCAACAGAATCTTAATTCGATGCAACAAGGACTTTCCATGCAATCCAATCTTGCAGTTACTCAGCAACCGATGCAGATGAATATGCAGCAGCTACAGCAAGTAGGTTAAATAAACAATATATTATTTGTTAATTTTTGAATTTATTCTCAAAAGCTAATCATCATTTCAGTTTATTAGTTATTCTAACAATTGTTTTTAAGTTACAGCAAATGGCTCCTCCTGGAACCATAATTGGTCAAATTCAGGCGACTACTCAACCGTCCGCTATTCCACAAGCGACAGCTAGCCCCACGCATATCCAGCAACTCCAAGCTAGTGGGCCCCATCAGATAGCGATCACCCAAGCTCAGCAAGTCCCCCTACCTCCATCGATACCACCTGTACCCAAGGAGGTATCTACTGAGTCCAATAATACCGATAGTATGGCAACCAATGGTGGTCTACATATGGATAGTAGTAAGGATAACACGGCTGACGGTGAGTACTAAAAGTTGTGTAAATACCTTCACTCTTTCCATTGAAGAACTAATTTTCAATGAAGGGTGTGTTGGCACATACTTTTATACAGTTACGAATATGAAGATATTATTATAAAAAAAATGAGATGGATATAATAGCCATTTGTGTAATAAGAGCTTTAGACAGCGGCAACGAACTTTTCGATCACATTATTTTAATAAATAGATATACAAACTGAAAATATCAAATGAATTTAATTGCAAATGGCCTACTTTAAAAATCTAAAAATTGCGTATCGTGTATAATATGTAGGCAATATGTGAATCTTTCTAGTGGATATTGTTCATAAATATGGCTGAGAACTAATAATTATATTGTGAAAATATGGTATAAAATAATTTTTATTTTACTAAATCTATTAATTTGCCTGCAACATATATTCAATTAACATGCTTTTCGTCAAGAGAAATGAAGCGAACAACAAAGCTGTAAATTTTGTCGCATGGCAGTTCGCGGAAAATGTCAACTTTGCGGTTAGATTTTGAAACGCAAAAGCCTACTTTGGATAGTAATCGTAGCCAAATTATTTCTAAATATCTATTTTAATTTGTTTTAAAAACGTAAGGCATAGAAAATATTTTAATTTTGACATAAAATTGTGCTCACTAAACGAGTTCTTAATGCAATATACTGCGGCGTACTTAAGTTGGTTAAAACAGAGAGCATATGAGTTCTTTAGTGAGATTCCAAATCAGTGCGAAATGCGAAATCGAATGGCTTTCGATACTCGCAACCAAATACGATATCGAGAAATTTGCTATTCCTCTTCGCTATCGAATCGCCCTGCGTTTTGGTCGTTTCCGAAACTCGTAGTATTCGTAGCAAGCATGCGCATTACTTGTTTTAATTGTCAACAGTGCCATCCAAACTGACGGCATATAACAGGTGATCACAGTTAGCCAATAGCAGGGCTTAAATCTTAAATTGCGTTAAATTAAATTCGTGCATAAACCCACCATAATTACCTATAATAATAGTTTGGTGATGTTTTGTTTCAATTTAACAGTTTAACATTATTATTTTTTAAAGCAGACCTTTTACTTATACTCTCAAAATTCTCTAGAACTTCTTATACCAATGACACAGAATAATCAACAATAACAATGCTTTAAACTGTTCAAACTTCAACTAGAAATCACAACCGCTACAAGGCTACAACCTTTACAACCACGTGCTATAACCTCAATAATCTACCGAAATCGAGCAATTCGGCACCATAGACCTGGCGAGTCACTCGCAATCGTTTTAGTCGATGCGAATATGATTTCCTGCAAATCGGAATACACCAAACCGTCGAAATCGAGTATTTCGATATCGAATTGTCAATGGGAATCTGCCTGCTGTTCCGCATCATCAGCGTATTGAACACATTTTATGTCTCTATTAAGAAGACAATAGGCATTTTCGGAAACTTACTACAGATAACAAATCCAGATTACTGGGTTTACCCGATGGATCACTGCCGACAATTTACGAACGAGTTGGATTATTGTTCCTGTTTATCTACGTCTGTCAATCTTTGACTTTTCCTTATTATTTGTTAAAGAACCATTTTAATTAAACGTATTTGTAATCTGACTAATAAAGTCGCAATAGGGGCATACATATTACAAGTTATAACTAATTGAATGTAGAAAAAACTTCAAAGCTACTACTGGCAGACACCAAACACCAAAAAATTGCGTTATCCCTTTATAAAATCCTGTGGTGCGCTTGCGGATCTATTACTAATCTACTCGTAGAGTGGGTTACAAAATATTGATCTCGATCACAAAGCTGGATCAGTAATCTACTAGTTTCCAAACACGGATAGGGTTAGTAACTAACCATAGGTAAACGAACAATAGGATCCATAATATTTCTGATCCGAGTAAGTTTTCGAAAACGCTTTATGACTATCGTAGATATATACATTAAAAAGAACGAGACTGAAAACTGCTTCTTATGGAATACCTAGATGCATGAAAATTATTTTACGGTTACTATTGAGTTTAACAATATTAGTAGATGATTTTGTTCCTATTTCTAACGTAATCATCTTATCTACTAAACTCAACAGCTTCATAGGCGCATTTGAGATCAATAAATAAGCTAAATAGGAATTATTAGAGAAGGAACATTGTATGTCTATTACAAGATGGGAAACTGATTCAATTGTTTCCATTCCTCTTTGAAAACCATTGTCGATTAATTTAGAAAGGGCCCTAATAACTAAATGTTCGGACACACAAAAATTTATTAAAACGTTAATTTACACAATAGTATGTTACACACCGAGGTGGGAAGAGTTTCATTTCTGTCGTGAGATTAGTTAGATCACCGAGACGCGAAGCGTCGAGGTTAGCTTTGATCTCGAGACAGGAATGAAACTTCCTACCGAGGTTTGTATACTATTTTATTTACAACCATCATATTTCGATCAAAGTTAATAAATCTGTTTCGTTCTGAACATACCTAAAATATTACATTTAACAAATTACCAAGCGCGCGGTTTTCTCAGAATAATCAAGTAAATATATTGTTACTGTGATTACGGGGTAAACAACTGTCACGAATATAAATAAATGTCAGATAAAGCCGGATATTAAATTCGCGAATAATAAATATCAATGAGTAGTTTGTTGTATTTTAGTTCATTGTTGTTTTTCATTGTTTGCCATTAAATAGGTATTATAAAATTTGTCAAAAAAATGTGTAATTTTTTTTTAAATATAAAAAATATTCATCTAGAATAGATGAAATAAGGGCGGGAAGCGAGGGCGGGAAGCGAGAGCGGGAAGTGAGGGCGGGAAGTAGAGGTGTGTAATGTGACACTTCCCAACCTTCAATGACGTTAGTAATGACAACATTACATATATGGTTGCAAATAAAATAAATTATTAAATTAAAGAACTACATTAACAATATATTAAAGTCTATCATTTATAATAAATATTTAAATGGCTTGGTTTCTATACACATTTGAAATACACTGTGGACCAATAAATAAACAAAAATATTGCATTATATCGTGACAACTAACTGTTCGGATTTATCTAGTTACCGTGTATAAAATAAATAACTTTGACATTCACTTATTATGTTATTAGTTACTGCACTGTCAAGTTGATAGTTACTTTGCCTTTTGCCAAAAATTCTGATCAAAAATGGCAAGAGGAAGTGCGACAAATGTAAAAATTCCTGAATTGGTAACCAAAAAATATTGTTAGGGAAAAATACGTGAAGTTTAGTCAAGTCGACAGTTGAGGACCCACTTAGGCACTATCGTAAGAGTGGAAGGGTCCAACCTAAAAGCAAAAGTATGCATAAACCCAGAATTGTGAATGATAGGGATAGATGATTGCTAGTAAAAATTGGCAACTGGGTCGTCGTAACCTATGGTTGTAACACTTTTAAGAACTATCGCAGCCCAAATGGAATGCAGAAACGGGAAAGAGTGCTGTAAAGGTGAATACACAAATCAGTAGTTCGTAAGTTTTTATTAAATTCATGATTTTTTATTTGTAATGTTTTAGAGGAAAGGAAAACCTCTTCTAGCAGAGAAACGGAAAATAAATCGGTTTCAATTGGGCAAAATCGAAGATGTCATAGATCGCTGAATACTGGTCCAAAGTTATGTTTAGTGACCAGCCGAAGTTTGACGCGTGAGTGGGAGACTTTCGTAAACGGGTTATTAGAACTAAAAATAAAGCGAAACATTTCATAAATATTGCCTCAAACGGACAGTAAAATTTCCTAAAGGCAGTCTAATTTGGAGTGCATGTCTGCAGTGGATCTAGGAAGGTATGAGTTGGTAGACGGTACAATCCATGCGACAAAATATCGAGAAATTTTGAAAAATAATCTGGTGCCAAGTGTGAAGGATCTGTAACGATAGTTTAATTTAAAAACACTTTATTTTTAATTTATTTATAACGTATTAATTAATTTATATAATACTTAGGCATTATTATAACTCACAATTATAATTTATTTATTACAATTTGTCTTTACTGTCCAACACTTAAATTGAAACTTAACGTCTGTCGACAAGTCGCGCTATTTATATAGAAATGTCATACTCTCGAAAGAACTAACGCTGACTAAAAGCTCAGTCTAGAAATTCTGGAAATTATTCTCCACGTGTCAGACTGCGATGGGAAACATTCGATTCGGTTTCTCGAGTCTCGAGATGGGTCTGGATGTGGCCAGCGCTAGACTTCCTGTGGCGGGTACGATAATAAACAAAGAACAGAGTCGGCTTTACGCGAAAGATCTTTAGCCAGTCATGAATTTTATATTTCAACAGGACCATGCTGCATTCCATATGGATAAAACTTCAAAAAAATGGTTTAAAGACAATAACATGAGGGCCCTCTCTTAGCCTTCGGACAGTCCGGATTTTAATGTTATCGAGACAATGTGGCATAAAATAAAACAAAAATTTCGTGATGATTCCCAAAGGGTCGTTGCGGATTTGAAGATAAAATTGAATGAAATATGGCAAAGTTTCGCCCCAGACATATGTCATTCATTAAAAAAAAATGCCAGACAGGATTGTAGTGGTTGTACAACCGCAAGGCAATGTAACGCCATATTATGAATAGTAATTTCCATTGTGCGAATATTTAGTTGTCACAATACTGTGCAATATTTTTATTTATTTATTCGTTCACCGTATTTCAATGTGTATAATAATAATCTTTTATTCCATTGAGACCATTTACATGATATTGGAAAAGTCAAATACAATAATTTTAAAACAAAATACAAAGATAAATAAAAAGTACTAAGAGTTACAATCCAAAAATTCAGCTATATTATAAAATGCGTATTGTGACAAGAGATCTTTGAGAGATTTTTTAAATGCATTAAAATTTTTATTTTCTTTTAAGGAGATTGGTAGTTTATTATATAACTGTATAAGATAGAGTCTTTTCAAAAAACCCTGTCCGGTGAGGGGGCATACGTAGCAGATT